AAAAAAAAAAAAAAAAAAAAAAAAAAAAAAAGAGATAATAGCAAGCGTTGACAAGAAGGTGGAGAAATTGGAAACCTCATACCTTGCTGGCGGGAATGGAATATGGTGCTGTCACTTTGGAAAACAGTTTGTCAGTTCCTCAAAATGTTGAACATATAGTTACCATGTGACTCATTAATTCCACTCTCTATATACCTAAAATAAATGTCCATCAACTGATGAATAGATAAGCAAAATGAGTTGTATCTACTATGGAATATTATTTGGCAATAGAAAGGAATGAAGTACAGAACGTGATGCGATATGGGTGAAAACATTATGCTAAGTGAAAGAAGCCAGCCTTGTATGATTCCATTTATAGGAGATATGCAAAAAAGGGAAATCAGTAGAAATAGAAAATAGATTAGTGGTTGCCAGGGTCTGGAGAAAGTGGAGAATGGGGACCAGTTGTTTATGGGTTCTGGGTTTCTTTTTGGGGTAATGAAAATGTTCTGAAATTAGATATTGGTGATGGTTGCACAACTCTATGAATATACTAAAAGCCACTGAATTGTATACTTTAAAGAGATGAATTTTATGGTACATAAATTATAGTTCAATAAACCTGTTATTTTAAAAAAAATATTACACAATGTATTTTTGTGACAAATACCAAAAAGAAGAATTTCAGATCATGGAGACATTATTTCTAAGTCGAGTGGTAGATAGGTTGAGCATTTATGAAAGAGGTGTGTTTGAGCTGAGCGGCTTTTAAGGAAGATGAAGATTTGGATATGTAGCTGTTTCCAAAAGGAAGAGTTCTGGGTCACAGAATTCGGCTTGAGACAAGGTCAAGAATGTGGGAATGTCTGTGCAAGGGAAGTTGTGAGAAGATTCAATCCAAGACATAATTGGAAAGGAAAGATGGGCCCAAACTAGGAAAGACCTTGAATGCCAGCATGAGGAACTCTGTGCTGTATTTAGTCAGCTCTAGGAAGTTGATAAAAAGTGACACACCTCAAGGCTGTGTATTAGAAAAATTAATCAACAGCAGAGTGTTGTGTTAAATGGAAGCGGGAGAGCTCACCTGTGGAGATACTCGTTAGGAGTCTGTTGTGGTCGGTTTGAGATGAAGGATTTCCTCTTTTAAATTACCTAAAACTGGAATTACTTTGGTTGAGTCTGAGTCTTCTGATACCAACTTGTTGAATTTGAAAGGCCTCGCACACAGATGTTATTCTACATTTCCTGGGAAAATGAATCACATTTCCTGGTAAAGAGCTGTCTGAGGGTGCTAACAATAGTGTGTGGGCCCCTGCTTGGCCAGTCCGTTCATTTCGGCTCCTTTTTCTTCTCCTAGTGCTCACCACCTGTGTTTTTTGTTTTTATTTTCTCTTTCCTTCCTTCCTCTCCTTTTTCTCTCTTCCTTTCTGCTCTTAACTAGGTTTTCTGTCACCCTTCCCTTCGGCTTCACCTCCGAACCTCCAGTCATGAGACAGTTTAGCAGAGAAAATTACCAGTGTTTCTCTGCGCAACATAAAGAAAGCTTGATATTAGCTACATGAGAGAAAAGAGAATGAAGAAACCTTTTCATGACGCATGTATGGAGACATTAACATGTAGGCTGTATCAGTGAACATTTTAATGGAAAATTTGCTAAATATAAAATTTTTTGTAGGTAAATTTAATATAAAAGTAATTGAGATATGAGGAGGCTCACTGTGAAAATTCTTTCAGGCCTATAACTTCCAGATCTCATTAGGATCTCAGGATTCCCATTTGTAACCTGCCATTCAAGTCTTTTCTGCCAGTTTCCCGTGTCCTGTTTTGGTGTCCTGGGTAGCAAACTTATGACCTTGATTGTGCTTCAGTACTGTGTTATGAAATGGTCACCACATTCCTGAGATACAGGGAACTAAAAGATTTTCAGAGGTTCACAATGAGGCCATCTAACTTTTCCCAACTATCTAATTTATCATTTCTACCAAACACTCTTTTGATCTTGGGTTACAATGAAATCTCGGAACATATGGATAAGGACATTTAAAAGGTTGCTGGAGGCGTTTCCTTCAAGGTTAGATTTTCCAGCAATAAATGTACACATGCAGTTAGACTGTTAGTTGCAGTGGGGATATAAAGATGGAGTTATCCAAACTCAGAAGGAAGCCTTTTTCTTTAAAGAGTTTGTCAGGTTTTGTCAGTTTTGTTTTGAGGAGAATGCTGGTAGGGTCGCTAAAGGCAGCAAGGGTGGGTGGGTTGGTTCTTTTGCCCTATTCAAGTGAGACGTTAAATTTGTGTTGAGACCTAATATTGAAGACAAAAGCTGTGATAATCTGAGAGAAAGGGAAGGAGGGAAGGAAGAAGAGAGGGAGGGAGGGAGCAAGCCCAGGCCAGGGCCTGCCCAGTTTTGAAGTCAGAAGGTCTACTTTTAAATCTTCACTCTGTCACTTTCTGTTTTTCTGAGCCAAGTTGCCTCACCTTTCTGAACCTGAGTTTTGTCAACATAAAACGGGGTAGTTGGCAAGATCAAGTAAATTAACTCATGAGAGGATTTGTGTTGTTTGGCTTATTATAAATGTTGAGTCCTGTAGAGACTTGAGATTTCGTCATTCATATTTTTGGTAATAATATTTTGATGATATATACAACAGTTTACAACTCCTCTTTTAGTGTAAGTGTAGTTCTAGAGGTATAATGCTCTGAATAAATTACCTAAATCATAGTTTGTGAAACCTAGTTATAGCTGAAACTCTATAAATGGAAATCAGTTGTAGTATAGAAGTTTATGCTCAAGGTGGCACTGTTTCCCCATAAATTTGGTGATATTTTGTATTTTATCCCAATCTGTTCCAAGTCAAGCAAATAACTGGATGTATATTTAGGACCATCTCTGCCTTCTGTAGTCCGCAGGCCTTCTTACCTTGTGAAGCCCCACCTAAGATATTAGGTGTATATCCTAGAAATGCACACTTATCCCACATTCACTATAACATATATGAGAGTTGAGTCGTAATAAACTAGTTGACCTGTTATATTTTTGAAGACATTTATTAAAACAATACTTCAGATTTTACAGCTTTCTTTTTGTATTTTGGAGTCAATTTGTTTTTAGGTCTCAAATATTGGAAAAGCTTGTAGGCCCTGGGTCCTAATGGAATAAAGGACCTGTTATAGTTCTTCTCCAAACTGATTATAGTACAAGGGAAAATATCCATGTTGAACTTCATTTTTGCTAGTAATCTGTGTCAAGACTGCCATATTGTCAGAAACTACACACACATTTCATGGGTGTGGTCATTCTAGGCTTGATGTGAATTGTTTGTTTTGGTTTGTTTGTTTTTAGATCCGAGGATTTCTGTCACGGTTTGATAATGTCCTTCCTGTCAGCCTGGCATTTGACAAATGTACAGCTTGTTCTTCCAAAGTAAGTCATTCTGCATTTGAGGGACTTGTTTTTAAAAATGAGCCTGGGGCCGGCCCGGTGGCATATCGGTTAAGTGCACGCACTCCGCTGCTGGCGGCCCGGGTTCAGATCCCGGGCGCACACCGACACACCACTTGTCAGGCCATGCTGTGGCAGCATCCCATATAAAGTGGAGGAAGATGGGCACAGATGTTAGCCCAGGGCCAGTCT